TGTCTCAGGGTGACGGGCGCATGGGCAGTGCCCCTCACATCTTTGCGATTTAAAGCTCTGAGTGGCACTGCAACTGTTATGGACAGCCGCGTAGCTTACCATCAGGCGCACGACTTGTTCGTCGCGTCACTTGATATTATATAAAAAAAGTACAGTCTGCGATCACACCATGGATAAACCTAGACACTCAATTAAGTTTGACGAAACCCAGGTATTGCAAAAGAAATCCGTTATCTACTCAGGATGCTGCGAAAGAACGTTGAAATTTTAAAAAGTCCTAATTTCAACAGGGAATTTTTTTCTAATTACCATTGTAAATTAATAATAAAATAAATTCAATAAAAATCTATATTGTTAAAATAAAAATAGGGTGGTCTGCATTAATAGTAGACATAACTGGTTGATGACTTTACCATCTCAGTAAGTCGTGCCTATGGGACCTGTAAAGGGCCCGAAACGTTAGATTGTTTGAAAAACAAATATACGCGATTTAGATCTGAAAATAGTTTCATTTCCTATTTCATAAACTATAATTGTTCAAATTTTTATTTTCAGTTCGAGCCCCCAGAGAGAATATCATTAATGCTGTAGTCATGTGGTCTGTCATCGCAGTACTGCCACCTTATCTATTACTGCTGTCAATCAGTCACATTACTGATTGACGATTTATTGCGTTTTGGTTTTGGAGGGTGCTGGTGAAATTACAGACACCTGGGACTTGTCAACTTATGTCTCAGGGTGAAAGGTGCAGTGATATTTAGGTACTTAGATCTTTGCGATTTAAAGTTCTAAGTAGCTTTGCTAAAAAAAGCTTTACTGCAACTGTTGTAGACAGGGATGTCGCTTACCACCACAAGCACGACTGGTTCGTCGGTACCCTTATTCTTCAAAACCGGAACGCAGTAAAGCTCACATTACTGTTTGGCGATAGCAATAGGTAATGTGAAACTACTTCCCTGAACGAACTCTTTTACAAGGAGCTCTACTGCTACAAATTGAACATGAGCGTATGTACACGTAACTAATTTATTTAATAATAATTCAAAGATAGAGGCATTACTTTGCGGACGTTTATGTTAATAAAAATTTAAGTAAATTAATCTGTTACTGCGCGAACCCAGTGGAGGTTAAATTGTGTAAAGTAACTGCGCTTGTGTTAAATATTATTCTCGTACACACACAACACAAGCGCGTCTCAAGAACATGTTTATGAATAAAAAATCGAGACAGTAGAAGTTGATAAAATTTAATGGAATGTTTTTTTATACATTGGAGAACGCAATGTTGTAAAACATAATCGAAATACTTACTCGTGCACAAATCACTTAAAATCTTTTTCCGTAAAAAATTGTTCCGTGATTGAATTTCATGTCGATATTGTACTACACAATACTCAAATATGAGACGATATAAAATAAAATAGGATAGGCTTACTATACGCTTTTATGGCACTCAAAAGTTTATGCACAGTCTTCACAAAAAAGATCGCAATGGTTCGTAAGACAGTTTAGCTGTATATCATATGGTAACGAATTTCCCCATGCTGCCCCATTGTTGGGGCTGAGCTGTAGGCTACCAACGGGGTCACAGGTGGTGGATAGTGAATGGCCACCAGATATGGTGGTTAGCTGCGAATATATTGAATAAGCAGTCCCCAACCAAGCAGCGGCAGCGTTAACAGGGTGTAGTGGCAAACCCGGTGGGATGGGTTTGCTTATAAAATACTGCGTAAAGTCCTACGACGACGACTGTGACATGGCGAGAAAAAGCCGCCATTTTAAAAGCTTTCCCCTAGCAGCGGGCAGCGGCGGTGCTATTACTTGTAGAAGGCGGAAGAAGTATGTTCTGAAAAGGCTTCTATCTAGATATCAGCGGGCGACCTCCCGGCCGATGAACCGCGGTGCAGAAGGCAAGCGGGAAACCACTGCACAATATCTCCCGAAAAAGTAGCAAAAATGGTAGAAATGTGAGCAGTTACAGGGAGGTCAAGGAGTTGGCTATGGACCGTGAGGAGTGGAGGAGGCTACACCGACAAGAGCATGGCTCTTAAATAAAATGAATGAATGAATGCCCCATTTAAATTTATTCCCGTTGAAAAAAAAACTTAATGTTGTACATTATTATTGTTTTTAGGTTCTTAGGTTTTCACGATTGCTAATAACACCACAGCCATCATTTAAGTTACAATGCGCTTGCCTTCTGAAATCAATCAATGAAAAGTTAATTTTTGCCAGGAATTTTACTGAGGTTCTTAATCCACTCACAAATGATGTAAAAATAATTATTACCTTCAGTTGAAAACGTATTTTTAACCGCCTCCTTGGCCGAACGGTTACCATGCTGATCTGCCACGCAGAGGACACGGGCTCGATTCCTGGGCCGGGAGAAATATTTGTAAGGTCTACATTTCTGCCGTCAGCTAACCAAACCGCGGCTAAGTGACAAAATGATTTTTTGAGATATTATAAAAAACCATGATCCAGTTTTAGAATATTGAAATTGGTTAATGATATTTCAGCAATGCATGGGTAAGTTCCGATAAATCGAACACGTTAACTAATTTTAACTGTCTTTAAAGGAGAATTTTGTGCTCTATTTTTTGCTATTTAAATCAGATATTTGACCATTTGTCACATCCGCGTTTTAGTTAGTGGACGGCCGATTTATTTCTCTCGTGAGTTTGGGTGTAATTTGTCTATGTGTGTGTCCATGGTACCCGCGATACAGATTTTGTCTATTGTGGGGCTCTGTGCGTGCATTAAAAAAAATAATTACGTATTTTTATTTAAATTCCGACTCTTCACTTACTAAGCCATTACTAGAAACATGCATGTTTACTTCAGACGTATGAACCTCGCCGCCACACCGCTGACATTTGTCGCATACCGCCGTTGATGTACTTGATCGGTGAAAAATAAAAGTTGTAAATGATTTGTTATATTTAAATATAATACACTTTCATAGAATTATAATGAATTACGTTCCTGTCTTTTAAATTTAAAAAAAGCGTTTATTTTTAAGTGATTGTTTGTTTTGCAGGTAGTTTTTAAGTTGATTTATTTTTGTTTGCAGTACTTAGGTACACACTTGCTGAAGTGCACAAACATTGAAAATGAAATTAAAGGCTGATGTAAACAATGTTTATCAATTTTTTGTTACACACCTGAAAAACACAAGTTACGCCGACATTTTTACGATCGGCGTACATGTATAACTTACCATCGAAAAGCGGCTGTACTTTAATAACTTAGTGTTCATAACATTTTACTTTTTGTTCATGAAGTGATTACATTTTTATTTAAAACTATTTTTTTCTTATAGGTATATCTCTATATATTACTATATAGAGACCTATTTTAGTGTCACTCGAACTTTGAAAGGAAAATGAAGTCGTTCTTTAGTTCACATTTTTGCAGAGTTTTGCAGATTTGTATACACCCTAAGGTTTTCGCGATTACTAGACAATGGAAATGATACTATTTTTCATAAGACCGAAGAAGTTTCTTGGTGTTCGATATTTGTATTGATAATTATAACAAACGTGTAGTAATTTTACTGAAAAAAACATCATGGTTCTAAAACATCGCAACATTCAATAAACTTTATATCAATTTTATTATTAAAGCGACATCTCTAGTCAGCTGCTGATAGCTGTAAAAAAAGATTTTGATTGGTTTGATTGAATTGATTGATTTGATTTTTAGTGGAGTAATTTCACAAAAAAAAATTGAATATCAATTCAATAAAAATTTAAAATACAGTGAATAGCGACATCTCTCGCCAGGACTGGTAGCTGTAAAGGTTCTAACTGGGTGATAAATCTGTAATAGATTTCTCATAGATGGCGCTACGACTAAAAAGTTGTTGAAAAACCAAGTACAAAAACACGACACAAGCACATAGAAAAATTCGTGAGGTTCTTTGGTTCGTTCCGTGGCTTAGTTGGTATAGCGTCTGGCACGGTATGCAAGAAGACGTTGGTTCGAATCCGACCGAATCGAAGGAATTTTTTCTGAGTGTTCGATCTTTGTATTAATAATTACAACATTACAGTCGAGTTTTTGAAATTGTGTTATTTGCTTTTTCTAGCGGACAAGCAAAGATTTAATCGAAAGATCATGCGGCCAAATCTTTTTTTATATTTTTTTATATATGGTATTTTCACTATCGAATCAGAAATGAGGACATCCGTAGAAGAACGAAAGTCATCGAAATGGCTCGAAGCATTAAGGGGCAGTAGGCAGGGCACATAGCTCGTAGAACTGACGGCCGTTGGGGCAGAAAGGGTCTTGAATGGAGACCACGAAAATATTTAGTGGGACGGCCCCTTACTAGATGACCTGGTAAGGACAGCGGGTAACCGATGGATGCACTTCGCGTCCGATCGGCTGGTCTGGAAATTTTTGTGGGAGGCCTATGTTCAGCAGTGGACGCCTTCCGGCTGATATGATGATGATGATATTTTCTTTTATGTATGGTAACCATAGTATACTTAACTGTTTTCTTCATATTATAACGTAAGTCTGATATTGCGTAGTCGGAATACTCTGTGGCTTATTATTAATCTATGATAATATGTTTTGTCTTGTTTTAACACGCGCCATTCCGTGCTTGTGGAAACGAGATGGATGGTGTGAAATTTTACTTAGCATTTCGCGATTATCTAATATTATGAATACACGAATTAATCAAAAACCACAACATTACTTACCAAATTAATGTGAATGATTTAAAACTTTAAATTCATGTTACCACAATTAGTCAAATAGCGAAATGTGAGCAATGCACCGATGTAAATTATTATATTAATATTTTTGTTATGCCTTAACAGCACATCAGTCAAATACAATGTGTGTTAGGAACGCCGCATCTAGTACGCTAGTACATAGATATGGTTGGCCACTGTTGACATTTTCTCCATATCGACGCGACGTTGATGTACTTGTTCAGCGTGAAATCGGCGTTAGTATTACATTACAAGAACTTTTTTAATTTAAACTCTCTTTTTTTTCTACAAAGACCTGTTTATTATCACTCGAACTTGGGAAGTAACATGAAGCCGTTGTTTATTTTACAACTTTTATTTATTTATTTACCAAGCGGTAAGATTTTATTTTGTTTTTTTCTTTTAAACAGGATTTTTTGTAAAATACTAACAATCTCGCAAGACTACATATTACTAACATCATAAAAAACAACTCTAGTTCTATGACTGTTCACAAAACAATAAATTTACCAGAAATAAACTTTCAAATTTTTGTTGTCTGTATATGGTAGTAAGGTAGTAAGTTCAAATGTGCAAGCGTCCTCACTCCTCCCCAACGACTCCCAAATGCGTTACTGTGTTTTGCACAATGTTATCACCATTTAAAGCGATTTCATTATTTTTTTGTGTGAAAATAAAATTTATAATATTAAGTGATGGGACGAACAAATCGTGCACCTGATGGTAAGCTACACGCCTGTCCATAACAGTATGAGTGCCACTCAGAGCTTTAAATCGCAAAGATCTTCAGGGGTACTGCTACTGCGTCGGTCACCCTGACACATAAGTTGACAAGTCTCATGTGCCTGTAATTTCACCAGCACCCTTATCCTTCAAAACCGGAACGCAGTAATGCTCACATTCCTGCTTGGCGGTGGAAATAAGTGCGGTGGTAGTACATCTCTGGACGAACTCTTTCACAAAGAGCTCTACGCTATTAGTATAGTATGTATTGCATTGGCTATCCACGCCAAATGAAAAATAAAATAAAAATCAAAAGTTGATGTAAAAAAAAATTAGTAGTTTATTTCCATTACGTTATGTTGGATCCGTCAAGGTGTAGAACTGAATTTTCAGACATCGCTTGAGTAGATTTAGGGATCGTGCATTGAAATTACTTTGAAAAGTAACACTGGATAGTCTAATCACTATGAAATCGAATAATGTACTTTCTATTAATTTTAAAGACCAAAATGGGTACTAGGCGGAACGTAGGACAGTTTCTAGGTAGCGTGTGTGCAGCTCGATAGTCCAACTACCACTGTGTCCTCTCTCGTCTACCACCTCCGTTCCCACCCAGACTCCGCCGAGATCCACTGGCAGAGGGAGCGCGCGATACACTCTGTAACCTACAGGTTACAGATGCAGCATACATAACTGGCAGTTTTGCGTCCGTGCTCATAACCGTTTCTAACTTAAATAATATGATAATAATAACGCACCCACTTATAATCGCGCACTAGGGAAACGTTGTATCGCAGGTGCCATGGACACACACATGGACAACCACTAGTTACACCCAAATTCACGAAAGAAATAAGTGTAGGCCATACAAATATTTTCCCAGCCCGGAAATCGAACCCGGGCGTGGCAGTACAGGATGGTAACATTTCGACCACGGAGACAGTTAAAACTGTTGGAGAGCATTCTTTGAGTCTGTTAAAATTACTATTTTGTAGAAAGCCTGTAATAGTCCTTAGTATACTTAAATTATGTTTGTATATTATAAAATGTAATAGGCTGTGTTTTTCTTTAATAAATAAATGATACTAATTTCTCGAAACGTTAACGATTTATGTCGTTAGATGAACTTAATGCACCACAAATTAAATACATTAAAAATTTAAGATATTGATAATAACTAAGTGACAAATGATGATGTAATGGATTTCATCGTTTTATAAATAGAAGAAAAGGTAACATAGCTCGTTAGTGGTTTGACAGTCTTTGTTATAATAGCGGTGGAGTAATACGAGAATTATATTTACTGGTTAAAATTATTGCATAAAAAACTGAAACTATGAAAACTATCGTACTTCTTTGTGGTATTATTTTGGCTGTATTTGTATCCTGCTTAAGTGAGTATAAGTGTTTTATATTTTGCTATTGATCAGAACAGATCACCAAACCAAATTACTTGGGCCAAAGTTTGTTAATTCTGCTGCAGGATTTTATAAGTTAAAAAGTTTAAAAGTTAAAGAGTAGTGGCTTTTTTTATAATATCAAGTTTCGAGACGAATAACTCTTGCGTCTGATGGTATGCAATACGCTTGTCTATAACAGTTGCAGTGCCACTCAGAGCTCAAATCACAAAAATCTGAGGGGCACTCCCACTGCGCCCGTCACCCAGAGACATAAGTGGATAAGACTCATGTGCCTGTAATTTCACCAGCACCTTCAAAACCGGAACACAGTAATGCTGACATTACTGCTTGGCGGTGGAAATAGGTAGCTCATAAGGTGACAGTACTTCCCTAGACGAACTTTTTCATAAAGAGCTCTACTGCTACTAAACTTTCTGCTCTTCAATGGCACGTCGATAGCGTAAAAATACATTTAATTTAAATACTAAATTGTTGATTTATTTTGTATTAAGATATGCATAGTAATGTCCTTAGTGATTGATTGAACGAATGTTATCACTGCCATACCATTGACACTCTATTGAAATGGAGTCAGAACTATATTTTAGTAGAGTAACAAATATTATCATAATTGCAATATAATGTCAGTGGAGTCTCAACTACAATGATGAGTAGTTTTTAAAAAATTAGAACACTTGGGATCTTGGTCATAAATTCCATATACTATGCTTAGAGATTATATTAGAGAAAGGGAATTCCCAAACCAGAACCAATTTAGAAAAACAGGTACCCATTGTGTTAGTGCTGGGCCACAGAGGTCGTGTCACAACTTGCGCATAAGGTTATCGAACTAGATAATTAATCGTTCGACTACAAATAGTTAGCTAATGAGGTTATCAATTAATCATAGAAAGTATGTTTTAGGGAGCCGCCACATTTATAAAGCGGTTAGGAAAGCTTTATTTCCATGCATAAGCACCAGAGCGAATAATGGCCTGTTAATTAATTATTACCTTTTTGTATTAATATAAAAGCTTAGACTCTAGTGCAGTTTTTAAAGTTTCCCAGGAACTATGGAATTGCCTGTTTAGATTTTTAACTTGAAGTTGAAACTTCAAGTCTCACTCGCTCGAACGCGAATTTTCCACTTTAGGTCAAAACTTTCGTAGCTTCCATTGATTTTACGAAGCCAATAATTTTGTGCGTTAATGTACAATTCATAAAGATTAAGTTACGAAAAGAACCCGAAAAAATCTGGTACAAAATGAAAAAAATAAAAAATATAGCCGATTCGGTTAAAATTTTCCAAAAGTTCATAAAAAAATTATAACTAGAAAACTACGAAAAATCGCGGAACATACATACATTTTTTTGACTTCACTATCCTCGGCCACCCTGTATAGAAATAAAAGCCCAAAACCAAAAATTACAATGGTCCTCAGAATATTAAAAAAAAACAGTAATTATTTAGAAAAAATAATGATAAATACAAAGTTACACTGTGTGATGCCAACTACAGATATGGTGTATTAATAAATGTACAGATTAGTGATCACAATAGATATGTGAAATAGAGAAGGCAATTAAGCTGTTTTTAACAATTACAACTTTCGAAGTATTAATAAAATCTGTAAAAATTATGATATCTCTTTCAGATGGCCGCACATTTAGATGTGACTATGATTACTTTAAAGATATCAACGGATACATCAAGTATCAAGAAATACCAGCTAATTGGCGTGAGGCAAGACTGAGATGTCATTTGGAAGGTAGGTTCTCTAATTACATACGTATGATTTTTGGTTTGGCTTAATACACTCACGCGGTATTCCTTTAAAGTTTATTGACCTCCATCATTTCACAATAATAATAGAGGCAACCATAGGAGGCAAACTTCGAAACCCGCGGCGCCGCCGCCGTACTGTAGCCAGGCTGTTTGTAATTTAAAGTGCAGGCTTCGGAGAGTGAGCGCAGTCATTAATAGTATTATGAAACAAGTTTTTTTTTTATATAATATCTAGTGACGGGGTGAACGAGTCGTGCCCCAGGTGGTAAGCGATACGCCTATCCGTTCCACTTGCAGTGCTGCTCAGAGCTTTAGCATTCTCATGCAATATGTGGGGCGCCACCCACAAAACTTTGACTGTAGCAGGCCACTATGTATCTTCGAATTTTAACCAGCGAGGCATGTGGGCCACCGGCAGCCCTCAAAAACCCAAGTGCAGCAGGCTATCATGTATTTTCGAATTTTACCCAGCAGAATCGCTGGCGTACCACAATTAAGAATCAAAATGTATTTTCGATTTTTCTAGTCCTGATTAGTCAAAGGTTGCATCAGGAAACCGACAATATAAGTTGTGCGTTCGGCGAACACAGCCAAAATTGTTTGGTTCTTCTGCTACCAACTGATCCAGATCGTAGTGGTGATATCCGTATGTTTTTGGTAGAATCACGGCGTACCAAGCGGCTTGCTGATATAGCTTGGAGGTGTCCCGCCGGCAGCCCACATGGCCTGCTACAAGAGTTACTCAAGATGAGACGCGACGTACTGTGAAATAAAATGTGTGTCCTGCGCGCCATCCATATGGCCTGCTGCAAAAGTTACTTAAGATCAGGCGTGGTGTGCTGTGAAAAAAAATCGTTTGTTCTATGGCGCTGAGAGTGTTAAGTATTATTATAGTTGACAAGTACCATGTGCCTGTGATTTCATAAGCACCCTTATCCTTCAAATCCGGAAAGCAGCAAAGCTCACATTATTGCTGGGTGGCTGAAATAGGTGGCAGTACTTCCCCGGACGAACTCTTTCACAAGAATCTATACTGCTTGTAAAAACAAGTACAAGTATTGTAACTCCATACAAATGTAGCAGCGCAGCGTTCATGTGTGCACACCGGTACACGCAGAGTCGCACAGACGTGTGACTTACGTGTCGTACAGACGCACACCTATGCATAGCTTCGCGCGGCACTCGAGTTACAGAATTGAAGCGTTTGCTCGGTTTTTAAAAATTACATCAAATAATATGTATGTTTTTCATCACACTTGTTTGTAAATAGTATGATTGCATGGTGGCTAACTTGACTATAATGCCCCACACAAAGCCCTCGGGCCTTTTTTCTTTCCATTACAGCCATGGTCGCTAAGGAGTTTTTTTTTTAATTTATAGCACGACATACTTCGTTAAGTAGGTGAGGTTCAAGTTCAAACAAGGATTTTGCTTGAACAAGGAAGGTTAGTGTTCAAAATGATATTTAAAAGAAATTTAATTTCAATCCAGTCACATATTACTTAAATACTCATTATTAAGAATTTCTTATAACTGATTTCATTTTTTTTCTGTATAAAAATGTCGCATTTTTTACAGTCTATCGTGGCTGTATGCGTCTTTGCTTTTACATTTTAGTTTGATTTGTACTATCTATGGAAGAATAGCTAGCTGGCCATCTGTTGATACAAAAAATATTTGCAAAATCCATAATTTTTGTGTTGTGTTGTATTGTGAACCATATTATTCATACAAGAAATAAATATTGTATTTATGTCCTCACAAATATGAGGAAAACAGTATCACGGACGGTATAAAAATACAAAACTCGAGTAACTAATGCCCTCAGCATTCGGCTTCAGGTTTCTAATAGACCCTCGTTAGTAATTTCTTATTTACCGTCCTTAATACACAATGTACTATTGTTTATGGTTACTTTTATGTATAATAAATCATTATGCATGTAAAATATCAATATTATTATTTAAGTATGAATGAATGAATGAATGAAATATTGTAAAATTAGAGTTAATTAATATTAATTACAGTAACTCAGGTATAAAGATAGTAAGATAACGTAAAACAGGCGGCCTTATTGCTATGTAGCAATTTCTTCCGGGCAACCTTAGGATAGAAATTTGACATATACAAAGAAAAGTACTGCATTTGACAAACGTATTTTAATAGCGCGAAAATAGGCTGATAAATACTTGAATTTTTCAAATTATGTATACAACCTGTAGGTATAACTAAGATAATAATGTGACAACCCTACTCTCCGAGAGACGTGTAGGCATTAACAGGCGGGAGTTGGACTACTTGTCATATTATACTTTGGCGCAAGTGCATAACTCAACGCGCCCCTTAAATAACATTTGTTGTTGAACAATATTGTGTACCCATACGAAACGGTATCTTCTTCGTTAAGTTATCATTCTACAAACAATTCTGTCCATTGTATTTTTTTTACACGACGATGTTCATTCGGAACGTCTTTTACAGGTTCAAAGCTAGCGTCTCCTCTAAATCCAGGTTTGAGGTACGCAATGTTAAGGTATTCAAACACTAGTGTTTGTGGAGTGTTCACGGGTCTTCATAGTACGTTCTCTAGAGGCGACTACTTCTCCGTCGAAGGTACAATGTTCAGAATATCAATTTTAAAAGAGCGCACTGGAATATTTTGTTATTTCAGTAATCTATATCATAAATGTCGTTGTTTCACTGAAGTCTGTATTAACCTCCCGTATTTTTTTTAGTATTCTTTACTTATTGTATTTTTTTTTTGTAAAATTGAAACATGCTGGATTACAATCTCACTAGATAATAAACGTATGTACGTCTGAAGGAGAAAATACTAATCTAGTTTTTATGTTATTTAGGAGTTCCTCTTGCTAGGGTCCCTCATACCTGGACGGAAGGAGAACCAAACAATGACAAGGATAAAGAAGGATGCATAGTAATGCTTAGCGATGGCACTTTTGCTGACGTCAATTGTGCAGAGACCTTCCCGTACTTATGTTATAAGAAGGCTGCTCCGAACATGTTTATGTCTGAATGCGGTACTTCGGATACAGGTACGACTATTTTCTTTATCATAGAAAAGTTTTACTGTTTAAAAACCTCAACTTTTATACTCTTTTTGTAAAGAAAAGTATAATTGACATTTTCTTACTAACTATTTAATTGTAAGAAACATCGAGCTTTGTGCGGATAAATTGTTTATCATTTCGGGTTCTTAGGTTTTCGCGATTGTTACACATGAAACCATTTTATCTGGATCTAAATCGCTAAACGTTGGTTTGTTAGAAAAAACAAATATACCTTATTTAGATCCGAAAAAAATTGTTTAATTTCCTTGTTTATCATTTTTTAGAAACAAAAACAATCCTTGTTATGTTTTTTTATACAAGTAAGATTGGATAGCAGGGTATGGAGTCACATTTATGAAATTCCACGTTGTTTTTTGAAGTATTTATCTCACATCATCCAACTTCCTCATTGAGTTCTATTTTAACTTTCTATTGACTTTCAGCTTACAAACTAGATAGACGTACCGGTAGTTGTTACAAGTTCCACCAGTTCCCTCGTACCTGGTCTCGAGCTTACATGACCTGTGCTGCCGAAGGTGGATATCTTGCAGTCATCAACAGTGACACAGAAGCAAAGGTGTTGAGTGAATTGTATACAAAAATGGGAGTTCCAATTCCTTATGCTGGTGAATATTGGACTTTAGTGGCCCATGTTGGAGTTCACGATTGGAACGAACATGGAGAATGGCTTACTATTCATGGTAAGTCTTAACATGGATACACAGCCCGCGATTTAACCTACCACTTCATATGAGCTGGAACTTTCGCACCATGGGAAGAGGCCGTGGTAATGCAAACGTGTCAAGTGTATGTTGGTAAAAAGTATGGCAAAAGGTATGTTGTTCAATACATAACCAAAAATAGGCGGTTGAAATAGATGGGTTGTCATTCTGCATGATTCGTTAATCTTTATTATGAAATTAAAAAGCCAGTGCCTTTCGATTGTGCGAGGCAATCGGTATTATCACGGCCTGTGGGAAACTACCTTTAGGTTTCTCTGCAATATTATATAGAAATACATCAAAATTGTTTACGGTTGAGAATAAACCATGAACATCTTTAGTTTTCAATATAGCAGGTCAATTTTATAATTTAGTAACATTTAAACTTTCGTCTGCGTTTGGGGTTATAATAACAAAGGTGCTTTTAAGTTTAGTTTCTGTTTCTTCGCACTTCTTCTCTTCTTCTTCACTTCTGTATTTGAGTACTTTTCGCATTATTTATAACACTAAGTAAACGTTACTAAAATATTACTGCTCAAATACGTTCCACTGCTCTGATTCTTTCTGGTGACATGGTTTGAGATCATGCGTATTTGTACTTGTTTTCTGATTATGTTTCAATATTGTCTATATTTAATTGAACTATGCTTACTTATACCGATGTGTAAATACTTTTTAGGTGACACCATTAAAGACGCAGGCTATGACAAGTTCTCTCCCGGAGAGCCCAACAACTCAAGTTCGGAATTCTGTGGAGCGATTTACCGATCAGGTTTATTCGACGACTTCTGGTGCGAACGCCGAGCGCAATTCATTTGTGAAAAGGACCCTGAGTTTTTGACTTGTGATCATGAGCAATAATTCTTGTGTATGAGATGTTTAATAGTTGTTGTTCATTTAGTGTTGATCCCCAATTGTCAGCACGGTTCAGCAGTCTCCATACTTAGTTTTAGATGAGATATCGTCAGAATTATTCAAGTCAAGCTTCCGTTTGCCACGAATGTGTTACTGGTACGTGTTGGTAGTGGGGGTTCAATCGATCTGATTAAGAATTTTTTGTGTCGCGAAAAAAAATGTGAACGTTTTTAGGTAAAATATAAAAATCATAAGCATTTTACATAAATCGAATTATACGTTTTATATATTATATACTATCTCTCCATATCGTTTGCATTGTTCAGGTTAAAGTGTTTGTATGGGAGATTCTTACGAATAAAAATAGTAACTACTGTACACATTATAAATGATGACCGAATATGAGTGATTGTGATGAATAGGTAGCTGGAATATATCTGAAATTAACACTCTAGACGTTCTGGTATTTTTATGTTTACCGTTAAGCTGTGGGGCTGTAGAAATAAATATAATTTCAAAATGAATAACATAAAATAATATCTATGTGCTAAATAAATAATTATAGATGACTACTTATTTGTTCTGTTTATAATACAAATTTTCCTTCTAGCAACAACAAAAGCAAACAACCAAAACTGAAACAATCAAAAAGTACTTAAAATAAGCGCATGTATAGCAAGGTAGCAATCACTTACTGGCAACTCTAGGGAAAAAGGGTATTCAATAAACAAACTGTAAACACAGAAATTGCTACTTGCAAGAGAAATTGCAAAAAAGCTATTGGTGAGTCAGAAAAAAATATGCTTATAGTCAAAGGGGTTCAGATTTGTTTTGTATTTGTTGCTGGAGTTAATTAGATTAGGAGCGAATTAGGTAGATAAATTCAGAACTAGATAGCTGTCCTGTGTAGGTGTTAGTGAACAGTGGATTACGGCAGTGGAATATTACGGTATAAGGGACTTTACGTTTGTAAAGTGAAAGAGACAGTAAACTCAAACTCAAAATATCTTTATTTTATAGGTAACCAAATTACACTTGAAACCGTCATATTGATTAAACTCTACTGCTCATTCGTAAGACAGATTTCCCTGAAAAATATACATATTTAAATATACGTTTGTACACATTTATTTACAATAGCATTAGGTAAACGGGTCACTACCACGGATTTTCGTATAAACCTCGTGAACGGCAAATTTTGAATACTAACCGGAATCTATTGTTATTATAGAAGCGTATATATTGCCCCCTAAATGAATTTGTCACTTTGTGAAGACGACTCATCGGGAACAGCTAGTTTATCTTTATTCCTGGAATTAACGTTATGTCTATCAATATTTTTCATAAAAAAACTACTATTCTTCTTAGTGTAAATTGGACGTAGTTAAGCACGAAGGATCCAATCCACAAAATAATCAAAAAATAAGTTATATGTACCAAACGGTTCATAAAGTATAACCTCTTAGATCAGCAAAAATCCAACATATAAACATAAATAAATATCTCTGGAGTTACATGATATTATAATTTTTGAAAATAAAACAAGAGTGAGAAACACTTTTAAACTACAAACTGCCATATCTCGAAAGTGACTGGATGTGCATTGGATCCTTTTTGTTTAACTACGTCCAATTACCATTTCATAAATGTACTGTGACGCTAGTGTAAGTATGCTCATTTCTTTAAATTTATCTCTCAAAGAGACTCTGGGGCCCGAATTGTAAAGTTACCCAAGCTGCACGTTTCTGTAGAACAAAGATACTATTAATATCGGCGGCATTATCCCAAAGCAAAATCCTGTATGTCACTATACTACGAAAGTAACTGAAGTAAGCCAATTGAGCGGTTTCAACGTCTGAAAGTTCTCGCATTTTTTTAAACGCGTACACTGCAGAGCTGAGCCGTTGGTATGTTACTTTACTTATTGTGGTATCATTACAATTTAGCATCAAAAGTTATACCTAAAAAGATAACGGTATCTACAAGGTTAAATTTTTCGTTTTGTAAATATAATATTTGTGACCGACTGCCTAACATTGGCTAATGTAAATTTCACACAATTTGTTTTTTCTCATTAAGGAGCAGGTTATTAAGAACAAAGCCAATCTACTACCTTAGATATAGCATTGTTCACATCGACTCAGGGACATTAGTGCCTTTTAGCTTCATATAATAAGAATGTACCATCAGCCAACAATATTATCTCATGTTCTATATCCTCCACGAGGCTAGGTATGTCATTAATAAAACTAAAAACAGAAATGGACCTAGAATTGAACCTTGAGTGACGCCCATGCTATTTGCAGGCTCTGCTGATCTCGTACTGTTGACATCGATTTTAACTGCCTCTGTGGCCGAACGGTTACCATGCCGGACTGCCACGCAGAGGTCCCAGGTTCGATTCCCGGGCCGGAAGAAATATTTGTATGGCCTACATTTATTTCTCTCGTGAGTTTGGGTGTAATTTGTGATTACCTATGTGTGTGTCCATAGCACCCGCGACACAGGGTTTCCCTAGTGCGGGGCTATGTTGAGCGTGTGCGTTATGCGTTATTTAAAAAAAAATCGACCTTCTGTGCTGTAGTAAAAATTAAATCTAAACAATCTTTAGGTACGAAGGGATAGTGCAAGCATTCATTTTCTTGTCCAGAAGTAATTAGTCCGTTCATGGATAGTAACGGCGTTTACCGTAAATTAAATATCAGATTAGGATATCACAGGGTAAGCTGTTTCGCTATATGAACTACAGGTTTTACAGTGCGATTTTAGAATGTTTTCCGTGTAATTGCTGTCTACTGCTTCTTCATAGAACTGTAACAACAACGTACTGACAAAATTCATTGACACACGCACATATTTTTTGGCACTACATGTACGTAATTTATGACATTTAGACAAGACGGTACAGTTATTACAACATTAAGACAGTACGGTAGACACCGACGGGTTTGCATGAGGTGATACAAGTACATAATATTATGAAGCCACTGAACATACGAAGACCAAAGGTAAATTTTATTTAATATTTATTTTTCTAAATTAATAAATTATATTAATTATTAATTTAAAAAACTATTTTATAATATCAAGTGACGAGACGAACATGTCGTGCGCCTGATGGTAAGCTACATGTCTATCCATAACAGTTGCAGTGCCAATCAGAGCTTTAAATCACAAAGATCTGAGGGACTTACTTGGTACTTGGTACTTGGTGTAACGGGCTGGTGTCCGCAACTCGACGTCAAGGCGCCTATTTTGCGTGTGGTGGGTGCAGGGTCCTATTCGTGCCACCCAAGCTCCTCCAGGACTCTCAGCTGCCTCCTCGGTTTGCTGAAGACTTCGGGGAGCGACCTTGGCACTCCAAAGTACTTTGCCCTGTAGTTGGCCACGCCGGAGCACTGTAGTAGGATGTGCGCAGCCGTTTCCTCCCCCTCCATGCACGCTCTGCATAGAGGGCTGTCTCTGATACCTAAATTGAAAAGGTGTTTATTGTATGGACCATGACCCGTTAGGGCGGCAGTTAGAGTGCGAAGCTCTTGCCTTTTGAGTTTAATAAATATGCGAGATAGACTGGCATTGAGCGTTGGGAGTGCCTCGCCTGTCTACAGACCGTAAGGTATAGTTGTTCTGAACCATTGGTAGGGGAGGGATACTATGGGTTCTGGTCCTACAGCGTCCATCTCCGACCCTTTTCTGGCTAGTTCATCTGCCGCATCATTGCCACGTGAGCCGCTGTGTCCTTTAATCCACTGTAGGGTTACGTGGTTTTGTATACATACCTCCATGAGTGCTTGATGGCATTCATAAATGAGCCCTGAGTCTATGTCATAGCTATTCAGTGCTTGTAGCACTGACATACTATCGGAGAGTATTCGAATGGAGTGGTTCTTAACTCTTCTCGCTATGATTGCTTCTGCCGCCAGCTTGATGCCAATGCATTCAGCCTGGAATACTGTGTTGTGGTCACCAAGTGGTGTTGATATCCTGATATTGAGGTCTTCTGAGAATACCCCAGTACCTGTTCCTGAATTCGTTTTAGATCCGTCAGTGAAGTCGCGGACCTCTCTGGGGTTCAGTCCTTCATTGGGTTCTTCAAACAATTGTATCTTGTATTTTTTGTCGAAGATGTATTGTTTTGGGATCCTATCCACAGCCGCCTCCAGTAGCGGTTCCTCATTGACAGTCTTATAGAGGATTTCTGTGTGTGGGGTCCTCATGTGCTTCCAAAGGCCGGCTCTATTTAGACGCACTGCTGTTGACGCCGCTTCCTGTCTGATGAACAGTGGGAGGGGTCGCAGGTCCAGCATGCTTCGAAGGCCGCAGTTGGTGTTGTCATACAGCCGGTCGTCGCCACGCAGGCGAGTCCTTGGAATTTGTCCAGCTTGTCGATTGCAGTTGTCAGCTTGGTTCGTGGCCACCATATTATAGCGCCGTAACTGATCATGGGTCTTATCACCGCTGTGTAGAGCCATAGTGTTATCTTGGGATTCTACAAGATCTGAGGGACACTGCCACTGCGCCCGTCACCCTAAGACATAAGTTGACAAGTCCCATATGTCTGTAAATTTCACCAGCGCCCTTACCCAGACTGACATTACTGTTTGGCGGCAGAAATAGGTATGGTGGCAGTATTTTCCTGGACGTGCTTTTTCACAAGGAGCTTTACTGCTACTTAAATATGGTATGAACATTTCTACCACTACTATAATGTTACATCTGCCTACGAATGATCAGTAGAGTTTAATCACTATATAGTAATTTAATTTGAATAAATAGTAATTTGATTATCTATGAAATAAACATGATTTTGAGATTATACAAACTATTTGAAAAGAAGCTCTACTGCTTCTTATAGAGACATTTTGGTCTTCTATACTATGTAAGTACTATTCATGAATGGGTTCAATAATGACTCAACTTACTTACGGCGTCTAGCATTGAAGTATTCTTATTTACTTTTGGTGACTTCGAATGCTGCACACCTTTTAATAAATTGTCAAAACTATCTACTAACATCCGAAAGTAAAATGTAAAATTTAAGTTAAATCATTTAAAAAATACCATTACAAAGTAATTATTCCATTTTCTGTGTAGAAATAAAGGCACAAAGTACAAAATTAATTAAGGAATACGGGACTGGTGAAATGTGGATCGTAATTAGGATTTACTTAATAAGAAACTTGAGAACAGAGATGTTTTAGCTAATAAAGGTCTTTAGGAATTATGTCGTATTATAAACTTAGTTAACGGTTTGTATTGTAGGCGCTGGTTGCGGAGGTCCCTGGTTCGATTCCCGGTAGGATCAATTTGGGAACTGAAATTTCTGAATTGGTTCTGATCTGGGTGTCCCAGTGCCCCAGAGTGAATTCCGTTGCTCTATACTCATAGTACATGGAGTTCGAGGCCAAGCACCTGGTGTTGTTTTCTGGCACATATCCTCTCGACGTGTGTAGTCGCACGTGGAAAAGGCGAATGTCCTCAACTCCGAACTCGCAGCACCACCGCAGTGTGATCT